CATGGTATTTCATTCAAATTAAATAAAAAGAGAGTTTAAAAATTATCTACAAAATGTATGTCACAATCTCATCCTAAGTGAGGTTTTATCTTAATATATGGATACATTTCACCTTTTCTTTTGCCAGAATAAACATTTTTTAAAATATATATTTTATTGATTTTGTACAGAGAGGAAGGGAGAGAGATAGAGAGTTAGAAACATCAATGAGAGAGAGTCATCGATCAGCTGCCTCTTGCACACCCCCTACTGGGGATGTGCCCTCAACCAAGGTACATGCCCTTGACCAGAATCGAACCTGGGACCTTTCAGTCCCCAAGCCGACGCTCTATCCATTGAGTTAAACCGGTTTCGGCCAGAATAAACATTTTTAAAGAAGCTGTTAGTGTTTTTCTCTGAGGTAGCATACAATTAAACAAACTCTCATCCCAACCCAGATCTGTGGCATTTGTGTGTGTGTGTGTGTGTGTGTGTGTGTGTGTGTGTGTGTGTGTAGGGACTAAGAACTTCATTTTTAGCTGGTGTGAGGAGAAAAGAGACATGCTATTATTTTTTTCCTAATAAAATCACTATTTTAAAAAGGAAAGAAAGAGTGTTTAAGAGCCAACACATTGCAATCAGGTGAAATGTAGTGTGACTTTGGACTACTTATTTAAACTTTCTGGACCTCAGTTTTCTTATCTATCAAGTGGAGATGCATTGTTTATAAAGTTGTTGAGTGAAAAAATGAAATCATGCTTATGGAGAACTTGGTACAGTGTATAACACACAGTGCACATAGAAATAAGTAGCTGTTTTTGCTTGCACATATGCCTTTTGTATTGCTGGTGTTCACATTTATTTCTTCCCTTAGTATACCAGCAGCCTCAAGGGAAGAAATGATGTTTGTAAAGCAATGCAAGTTTCTGTTGAGAAATCAGCTGACATTAATATGGTAACTGCTTTTCTCTTGTAGGTAACTGCTTTTCTATTGCTGATTTTAAGATTCTCTCTTTGTCTTTAGCCCTTGGCATTTTAATTATGATGTGTATTTGTGTGGGCCTCTTTGGGTTCTTCTTGTTTGGGACTCTCTGTGCTTCCTGAACTTTTTTTTTTTTAATATATTTTATTGATTTTGTTCAGAGAGGAAGAGAGAGGGATAGAGAGTTAGAAACATTGATGAGAGAGAATCATTGATCAGCTGCCTCTTGCACACCCCCTACTGGGGATGTGCCCACAACCAAGGTACATGCCTTTGACTGGAATCAAACCCGGGACCTTTCAGTCCACAGGCTGATGCTCTAACCACGGTTTTGGTTGCTTCCTGAACTTTTAAGTCTATTTCTTTTACCAGTAGAAAATGTTTTCTGTTATTATTTCTTCAAATAAGTTTTCAATATCTTGCTCATTCTCTTCTTTGCTTTTCTGATTGGGTGTTTATTCTTTCTTCCTCATTGATTTTATTCTTGGAATCCTCTACTCTACTGTTGAATTCCTGTAAATTATTCTTCATTTCAGTTAGTATATATTTAACTTCTGGCTGGTCCTTTTCACGTCTTTCGTGTTCTCACTAAGGTTTTTGAAATTCTCACTAAGATCCTTGAAAGTCTCGCCAAGTTCCTTGAACTCTCATTAAGATCCTTGAGAAAACTTACAACCATTGTTTTGAACTCTGTATCTAATAGTTGCTTCCATTTCATTTAGTTCTTTTTCTGCAGATATTTTCTGTTCTTTTATTTGTGACATGTTTCTTTGTCTCCACATTTTGGCTGCTTTATTGTGTTTGTTTCTATGTATTAGGTAGAGCTGTTCTGTCTCCCGGAATTGGTAGAGTGGCCTTGTGTGGTAGGTGTCTTGTAGGATCCAGTGGCTTAGCCTCCCCAATCACCTGAGCTGGGAACTCTAAGTACATCCCTGTGTGGGTTGTGTGCACATTCTTGTTGTAGATGAGCTTTGATTACTGTTGGTGTCACTGGAGGAGTTAACCTCCAGGCCAATTGGTTGTAAGGACTAACTGTGACTACAGTGGAAGAACTGTTATGCAGAAGACATCCCTATTTAATAGGATTTGTTTAAGTGGAGCTTTGGTGCTCACTGGGTCTGCCCCTGGAGTGTGTGAGTTGTACTTTGGTATGGTCTAAAGCTGTCCACCAGGTGCACTGGCTCTGGGGACTCCTGGGAGTTGCAAAATCAGCCTGGGACCACATGAACTAAGCTATAGATAGGTCTGCAGATGGCTGCTATTTGTATCAAGCTTGGAAGTGCCCAGGTGGGCCCAGCTGAAAAGCCAGGTAGGCTGGTGATAGTGCTGAGTCTTAGGTCTTTTACTAATAGGTTTGGGGCATGCTGATGTCAGCTGCTGCTTGCTTGAGAGATTTTAACAAAGTCTGAAGCCTCACTTTAAAGGCAAAGAAGCTGAAGTGTGGACTTGACCAAAGGTACACAGCCAATCAGTGGTGGAATCTATTTGTTTTGAATCTCAAATCTGGGACTTTTTTTTTTTGGCAGATGCTTGATCATTCCATCCAATAATTGTGGGAGAAAAGAGGGTGGATTTTTAGCAAACTCTAGTATTGGCTTGTTTTCTCTCCATCCATTACCCCCTCCTGGGTAAATATTAGGCAGCCAACTCAAGGCCTTGATGCCACTGATTTTTTTATATCCTTACTGAACCTCTGAGTTTGCAGTGTTCTTTTATATACTGTTTTGCTCCTATTGGCAACAAATGCCTCATATCAGTTTCCTGATCTGAAAAAAAATGGGATGAATGGCATCTTCCTACCCAATGAGAAAGTCCACTCTCCAACAGCCACCAACTTACTCTAACCCTCCTTTTATTTTCTTAGGAGGCCTAGCTCTGCCTTCCCTCATTTATTTATTTATTTTCTGTCTTCTCCACCCTCTCTAGAATGGCAGCATGGTGGGGAGGCAGGGTCTTTTGTTCAGCAGTGAATGATACTGACTGTATCAGCAGTGAAGACAGAAGTATCATTCACTGCTGTACCCCAATACCTACTGGAGTGCAGTACAGGTCCTTAATAGTTATTTGTGATCACATACTTCTTATTTATTTATTTATTTATTTATTTATTTATTTATTTTTTATTATTTTAAATATATTTTTATTGATTTCAGAGAGAATGAGAGAGAAAGAGAGAAACATCAATGATGAGAAAGAATCTTGGATTGGCTGCCTTCTGCATGCCCCTTCCTGTGGATTGAATCTGCAACCTGAGCATGTGCTCTGGATCAGAATTGAATGTGGGACCCTTCAGGCCAAAGGCAGACACTCTATTCACTGAGCCAAACCACCCAGGGCTATTGATTTAAATTGAATTTATTGGAGTAACATTGGTTAATGAAATTACATAGATTTCTAGTGTACAATTCTATAGTACATCATCTGTATACTGCATTGTGTTCTCACAACCCCAAGACAAGTCTCCTTCCATTACCATTTATGCCCCCTTTATTGTCTTTTACCTTCTCTCATCCCCCTTTTCCTCTGGTAATCATCATACTGTTATCTATATCTATTAGTTTTTTACTTAAACCCTTGACCTTTTTCACCCAGCTCTGTAATTTCCATCCCCTCTTACAGGTGGCAGTCTGTTCTATGAGTCTGTTTTTAGTTTGTTAGTTTATTTTGTTCCTTAGATTTCACATAGGAATGAAATCATATGGTATTTGTCTTTCCCTGACTGGCGTATTTCACTTGGCAGCATGAAGAAAGCGGAACTGTCTTATGACCCAGCAATTCCACTTCTGGGAATATATCCAAAGAAACATGAAATACTAGTTCAAAAGAACATATGCTCCCCTATGCTCATTGCACCATTATTTACAATAGCCAAGATTTGGAAGCAGCCCAAGTGCCCATCAGTAGATGAGTGGATAAAAAAGCTGTGGTACATTTACACAATGGAATACTACTTGGCTGTAAAAATGAGGGAAGTCTTGTCCTAGCAGGTTGGACTTAATATATAGAGCACAGGCCTGTGGACTGAAGGGTCTTGGGTTCAATTCCAGTCAAGGGCACATGCCAGTAGGGGGGAGTGGAGGAAGCAGGCAATCAATGATTCTCTCTCATTGTTGATGCTTCTATCTCTCTCTCCCTCCATCTCTCTGAAATCAGTAAAAGTATATATTTTTAAAAATGAAGGAAGTCTTACCCTTTACAATAACGTGGATGGACCTGGAGAGTATTATGCTGAGTGACACACTTTGAAATGATACCTTCCATTTACTAAGTGTTTAACTATAAGGCAAGAACTGTACTAACTGTTTAAGACATTACCTCATTACTCTTATTATTCTTATTCTTGAAACACCCTGGCAAGGGGGATCGGCCATCCTTTTGGGGTGAAGTTAGGTATATACTTTAGGACACGTGGTTGGATTTCAATCCAATTCTTTCTCTCACCTTTGCTCTTTAGCGACTGAGCTCAGCGTTCCCAGTGTAATCTTGCACATAGTTTTCTAAAGTCAAAGCTCAGAAAGACAGTTTGTTTAGTGGTTAATAGAAAAGGAACTCCTCCCCCTCCATCCCTCACCCAAAAGAACCCCCAAAAAACTCAATTAGGGATCCTGACTGCTTCTGTGAACGGAGGGCGGGACAAAGGATTATTTTTTATAATTGTATCATTAGAATCATCAGTGGTCATGGGCTTACTCCAATGCAGAGAACCTGCTTCCCTTGCTTCTGAAAGTCCTGGAAAAGCCAAATCACCAGCTCACAGGTGGCCCTGCGCTCCTCCCAGGCAGCTTCCTCTACCCAGGGCAGGTAGCCAAGTCTGGCCTCCTCACACCCTCCAGCCCCAGACAGTGGCTTGGAGCTCACTGCGTCATAACACACCCCCCTGGGGGCGGTACTGTAGCTGGAGCATTGCAGGAGACACCTTTGCAAACAACCCTCTTCTCCCTGATGTCAGGTTAAAAACCTCAGCACCACGTGCTGCTGACAAACCTGCCTGTGACTGACTGCCTGCCTAGAGCCAGAGACCTCACTTGCCAGAACCAACATGTCAGCTGTGGTCCTGGAGAGCCGAAGAGGCCTTTCCAGGAAACTCTCTGATTTTGGCCAGGTGAGCCTCAGCCGCGCAGGGCCAAGGGGATGCTGGTGTTTCCTACTTCCATAAGCTCACTGCGATGTCTATTTCCATTTGAAGATAATGACATTGTCCAGGAAGTCATCAGATAACATAGGTCCTCAACAATTGTTTTCCAGGCAGGACATCAGCCCTGCATGGCTTTCAGGGGGAAAGAGCACTACTTTAGGAGTTAGGGATCTGGCCTTTAGTAGCCACCAACTAGCTGTGTGTCTTTAGACAGGTCACTCTCCCACTCTGTTGCCTGCTTTTTCTTCTCTATTGTGAAGGGTCTGATCTTTAATGGTCTGGAATGGGAGATGGGATTCTTCTCCATCTGCTCTTCTGTGATGTTTATGAAATGCTCACAGCCATCTATTGTAGTGGCAAAATTGTGAGAAATTGCAACCTTTTTTTTTTTTTATCTTTCGGAGAATATGGAGCATGAAGAAAGACTCAGACTTACTCAGACCTAGGGAAGGAGAACATTAAATAGAGAGAAAAACGAACAAGTTAGCCTTGGACTTGGAATGTGACTTGGGGATAAGGCCCAGGTGTTGTCTGATTCTCTGGGATTTGCTGCCTTTCTCTTGAGGTGAACAATTGTATTCTTTTATTGACTTATCATGCTCCTGGACTCTCTGGTTCAGAACAAAAGCCCAGCTCAGGGAGCAAACCTGACTCTGCAGACACATTTCATCAATAGGGTTAGTAAAAACCATCTAGAGAACAGGAAAGTGGAGGGGAGGGGATGAGTGGTTGATGTTTTAGGATAACCAGAGAAGTGGCAGAACTTCTCACACTGACTTTCGTTTTCAGTTCTGAGAAAGAAGACTTCCTTTAGAAATGTATGTGATGCTTGGAAGATGGGAGAGTTTGGGATTGAAGAGGGATGGTGTGGGAGTCAGACAGGTCCCAGAATAGATCCTGACTTGTCATCCTTTAGTTTCTGTGTTTCTGGCCATGGACTTCCACAATCATGAGGAGAAGTTAGGGACAGTCACCTGGAGAGTAAAGCTTTGTTTATAAGGCTCTGAGAATAAGATTGAGACCCAGAAATCGTCACTCTTAATGACTAGAAGCAAAGAGCAGGGTTTAGAACCTGCCCTGGTATTCCCTGCACATTGAAAGCAGGGTATTTAACTTTTCAGAGCCTCACCTTTATTCATTTGAAAAATTTGAATAAAAGTACCCACATCCTAGGGTTGGTGTGAGGATGAAATGAAATAACTATAAAGCTCTTAGCACAGTTCCTGGAACATAGGAAAGTGTCAGTGGTGTATAGCTGGGATGGGCTTAATTGTTCAACAAAATGTGTCTGGAACATTGGCAGGAGGGACCACACTGAGTCAGATATAGTGACTGGTGTAGCTTTGTCAGGGAGCAATGCTGGGCATGAAGTCAGCAGACCTGGGATCTCATCTTTGGGTGAGTAAAGCTATGTATTGGGAAAGCATTATAATTGGGATGGGGAGAGGCCCAGTTCTGTAACTGTAAAATTGGGGAGGGGGAGTGTTTGAACTGGAATAGACTTAAGGATTTTATCCAAGTCTGACAGTCTGTGAAAAAGACATGGTTTATGCCTTCATGAAGCTATTAACTCAGAAAAAAACCATACACTGGATGTAATTGTGACACAGGTTGGAAGGCATATGGTATGGCAAGCACTCTACACATCCAACAAGCAGAGCAATTCTGTAAGAGATGTTGACTCATTCATTCACCAAACAAAGACTTACTGAATACTTACCATGTGTCAGGCACAGAAGAGTTTCTACCCTGGAGAAACTTACATTGTATTATAGGAGACAGACAATAAAAAAGTTAACCAAATGAACATACAATTTTATGCAGAGATAAGTTCTGTGAAGAAAAATAGTACAGGGAATGGAATAGAAGATGAAGGGAACTCAGAAATCGCAACTAAGAATGATAAGCTAGTGTTCAAAACCAGATTTGACTCTGAGCCCACCCTCTCCCCTGTATGCTCCTCTACCTCACTGCTTTCTCCTATAGACAAATGCTGGAATACAGAGATATAGTGTGTCCAGGCCAGGATGCTTGCATCTTTCTTTCAGTTGTCTCACACTGTAAATACATGTGTGTTTAACCACTCAGGCAAATATGTACCTCTTACTATGGCCCCTCCAAAGCACTAAGAATGAAAAGCAATGCCCCTGGAATATCCTTGCTAAAGAGTATTATTGCTTATAACTTGGAAAAAATGTTCTTTTTCCATACACAATGAATGTATTTGTTAGACACAATCCAACACAATATATTTCTATTGGTAAATGTATTGCTCAATGATCAAAATACTTTTCTTTCTGGTTCCTAGTAAAGTTCTTTCTTCCAGCCCTATTTCTTCCTACTTAGTTTCTGAGCTTCTCTTGTCTGTCTTTACCCATCCTAGAGTTACCTGTGTTTTAAGTCAACTTACGTGTCTATTGGAAACAAATAAGATTTGGATTGTGAGCCAATAAAAACATATTCTGGAAGAGATTTGGCCAAGATCCCATGCTGAGTCAATATAGCAATGTTGAAATTACTATGAACCCAAGACCACACAACTTTACAACTTTCTTGAGCTTCCTTTCATTTAAAGTCTCTCAGGCTTTGAAAAGAGGAGCTGTAGTCCCACTTGAATCTGCCATTAGGAGGCAGAATAAGGACGTTGGAGTTGCTGGCCTTGAGTTCAAGTCCAGACTTTGCTACTTATGAGCTGGGTGTCTTGGACAGGCCACTTAAACTTGCTGGATTTATTTCCTTATTTGCAAAACTACTTCATGAGGCTACTGTGGAAACATGTAAACCCATAGAATAGTGCTAGTTGCTGCCAAAGATGAAGCTTATTAATTGTGAAAAGTACAAAGTATGGCTCCTGGCACACAGCGGGAACTCAGTATTAATTTTACTAATACGAAAGAGTAGTGACATATCATATGCAAATTTAAATTTGCAGGCACATTTGAGAAAAGTCGTAATTTGAAAAAAAAATGGGCTGTATATTTTTATCAGTGATTTAAAAATATTTCATGGTTAGGTATCATGTGGGATGCTTTAGAAAATGCAGGTTCTAAGATCCTATCCAAGATATTCTGATTTGATTGGTTTGGGAGGGACCCAGCAATCTGCATTTGAATAAGGAATCACCAGGTAATTTTGGAGTGGAAATCCAAGGAACACTCACTGAGAAACCCTGATTTAGAAATTGTGTGGGGAGAATGGAGAAAGTGAAAGAGGCACAGGAACAGGTAAGGAGTGGTATTGAGTAACTGGTGATTAGATCAGAGAAGAGCTCTTTGCAAGAAAACTAAGTCTTCATATGGACCTTTTGTTCATAGCTCAGGGAATTGTATAGAATGACTGATAATTAGGAGCCTGAGTTCTCCACCTGGGACCACTACCTGTGTGACCTCCACTGAATCACTTTCTTTGGCCCATAGTTTCTGTATCTGAAACTATGGGCCAAAGAAACTATGAGGGTTTGAACTAAATGAACTCTAAAGCCAAGTCTAGCTCTGTGAGTCAAAATTCAAGTTCCAAAGCAATGGAGAGGGATTGTTTCTAAAAGAAGTGAGACCCAAGATGGCTTTTGAGGAAGAGTGAGCTATTTGAAAGTGGGGGAGAGAGGAGTGCAGTGGATTTACCCCAAGGAGGAAGCCAGTTATATGGTGGGGAGGTTCTTGTGGGTGAGCCTCAAGAGGCTCTTGATTATCAGAAGGAAGTATTTTATCCCACTGGCCATGAGGAACCTCTAAAGAACTTAGTAGGAAAAGGACATGAGCAAAATTACTTGGGTTCAATCAATGAGGATTACTAAAAGCTAGATTAGTGTGCTGGCAGTAGGAACAAAAGAAGGACCTGACCCTGAGAGCTATGTCTGCATAAGGTCAGACTTGTCTTGGTGGTTGGCTGAACATGCACAGGAGTGGAAAGGGGGTGGTGATGGAATTTTGAGCATGGTACATACATGTCTGAATTAAGAAGTGACATCAGTGGAGACATATCAGTAATACGTCCCTTTTCCTAGAGGCCAACAAAATAAGAGAATGTTGCCAAGGGAACTAGAAACAGAGAAATCCTTTGTCATTTCAAGGAAATCAGAAAGGACTAAGGGCTCAGTGTTCTGTGGTGGGAAGAAGACTGCTGTAAGAAACTCATCTGCATATCTTTGGCAGGGTTTAGAGGAGGGAGAAGGTGGGATAGAGTCTGCTGTAAATCCTGATTCATAGATAGTATTCTGGGTTACATAACAATGGGTAAGCTACCTAATTTCTAGGAGCCTTAATTTTTTCATCAGTAAAAGGAGGCACTTGGAAATGAATAAAACCTACCTTCTAGATCAAGTGTGTCAAACTGAAAGGCTAACACAGGCCAAATAAACAAGGTTTAAGTTTGTGTGGGCCGCAAAAAATACAAAAGCTTCAATTTTCATAGGAATGTAGATTTATTTTTATAGAGACATACTGAATACAAAAGGCTGAAATAAATGAGTCATCATTAACATAAAATAATAGAACATTTTAATAAAAATTAATATTTTTTCTGGAATATTAACTTATGAGAAACTGAATAACTGCATAAATTAATAAGCGTAACGCAATAAAACTTTTTCTTGTTCTCCAAAAGCAAAATATTTCCTGTTGCGCACACCAAACAAGTCAGCCTAAGACTAATGACTTGGCCATCAGCTGCTAATATATTCACTGCTGGTATTGAGAGAAATGATATGCCTGCGTATAAGGCGAGTAATGGAAATGAATGCAACAGGATTATAGTAATCAGTCATCAGGGAACTTTGTAGTTCATTATTAATAATTACGTATAACAAAATATTGTAAAAATTAAGTTTCAAAATTTTTATTAAAATGTTTCTTACATACCTATTGGCTGGGCCAAAAAAATATTCGTCGTGGGCCACATGCTGCCCTCGGGCTGTGAGTTTGACATGCTTGTTCTAGATTGTTACAAGAATTAAATGAGATCACCCAAATGCCTGTGACATTATAGGATCTTAATAAATGATGGCTTAAAAAGTTTTAAGAAAGACTACATTATGCTCCATATAAAGATATATAACAGTTCAGTCTTCTAATTCATTTGAAACTCCTTCTAATCACACTTGTTCTGTTTCAGAAAAGGTTCTGGGGAAATCTATTTTCTGAATGAAAAGAAGTTCATCCTAAGGACATTGGTGTTTATGCAGGGCTTATTACACCAAGTCATAGATAGACCCTGTCCAACACAGCCTTTCCATTGAGATAATGTAACATCCATTCCACTAATTTCTTTAATCTGCTTATAAGAGAGTGCTTTCCTGTATATTTTTTTCTTCCTAGTTTTAGGTACATGCTGTTTATTTTTGGGCACATGTGGAACTTTATATATTATTATAAAACTAATGTAACAAATTTCAGCCCTTTCTGGACTGCCAATCCTAATCCCATCCTAATTTGCTGTCACATGCATGTAGAAATTGCTAAATCCTTGACATGCTTTGCTGTTTTGTTTAAGACATCTGCCTTCCAGTGGGTTATTTGTGTACTTTTATGTATCCTATAACTTTTTCAACAGTTGTATATAGAAGATCCCAGTATACACGAACAAGTTAATGCTTCCCAGAGAGCTTTGCAAAAGGCCAAGAAGTCATTCTCATGTATTTAAAATGTAATCATCATTTTTTCTAGACTCCTCTTAATATTCTACTTAAACTTCTTTATCTTTTCTTTTTTCATCATCTGAACACTGTTTAGACAGGGCTTGTCATTAGCATAATTTTATAGATGAGAAAACTATGAAGGCTAAATGATTTGCCCAAAGTAGTTCAGCTCAGAGGACCCTAACCCACATCTTTAGACTCAAAAGTCTGTGTGTTCTGTTTTTAGGACTTTCCATCCTGTATTTTTCAATGTTTTCCTGGAACACTTTTTGAACCACCACTAAGGATCTTTTATTTTTTTATTTTTATTTTTTAGTTAATTATTTGATTTGTTGTGTGTCTATTCAACCGAATTTTGAGTTTCTTCATCTTTGAATCTCTGCGCTCTATTACTTGGCACTTACTGGGTGCTCATTAAAAGGTACTAGATCTGCCGAAACCGGTTTGGCTCAGTGGATAGAGCGTCGGCCTGCAGACTCAAGGATCCTAGGTTTGATTACGGTCAAGGACATGTACCTTGGTTGTGGGCACATCCCCAGGAGGGGGTTTACAGGGGGCAGCTGATCGATGTCTCTCTCTCATCGATGTTTCTGGCTCTCTATCTCTCTCTCTCTCTCTTCTTCTCTGTAAAAAAAAAATCAATAAAATATATTTAAAAAAAATAAAAGGTACTGAATTTACAGGGTGACTGGTGACACCAGTGAATACCTGAAGCTTCTAAAGTTGAGATCTGACCTAGGAGTGTTATTGACAATATCACAGCCCTTGACTTATTTCCCACCACATTATATACTTCTCTATAGAATCTATGTAGCCCAAGGTTTAACTAGATAAAAGAGTTCCTGGTGGTCTCCTCCCTTGGAGGTTTCACAGAAATGAGTTGCTAAGCCATGGAAAACATTCTAACTAAGTATGTTTAATTCTGTAGGAAACAAGCTACATTGAAAACAACAACTCCAATGAAAATGATGCCATCTCACTGATTTTCACACTCAAAGAAGAAGTTGGTGCGCTGGCCAAAGTCTTGCGCTTATTTGAGGTAAGAGCATGATTCATTGCTGCCTGGGATAGAGGCGTAGCTGACTTCTGTGTCATTTTCTAGTTGGATGCAGTGAACATAGGATCTGGAACTGGCAGACTTGCTCTTTGGCTTGGGCTCTTGCATTAACTGTGTGACTTTAAGTCATTCTTCTCTCTGAGCCTCAGTTTCTCTATTCATAGTCAGAATCATTCAGAATCCTGGTTGCACACCTAGGAAACCAGCCCTGGCCTTAGATTTCTTTTATCAAACTTTTCTTGAATTAATTACCATCTTCTCAATGTTTTTACTTTTACCAGTAGTGCTTGTTTGCCTTCAGGATAGACATTTCTCTCTGGCCCTGAGGATGGTTTCTTCAGGCAGGGAACCTTGGTTTAGTCATATTATATCCTCTACACACTCAAATTTTAGTATATTAAGCGATCAATTAAGAATGAAATTAAATTTAAATATAAACAAAGGAAATCAGACTTTTCTTTTACTCTTTTGCCCTGGATTTTAAGAAGGAATATTTTTGAACTGATTAAGTTTTACCATGAGTTCTTTAAGAAAGTGAAATCTGGTGATTGAATAAGAAAATAAATGGAGAAGAGACAAAACTCCTGTGGAGAAGAATTCCAAATAATTTAAGCAGATATTCTACTCAGAGGCGAGAACCTAACACCCCTCTTCTTAAGTGTGGGTAGCACAGAGTGACTTTCTTTCACAGAAAACAATATGAGAAGAGGGAAGAGTAACTTTTTCTGTGGAGAATCTAACAAGGAATGGCTCAGCCAGGTGATCAAGGTCAAAACCAATGGTGACAAGTCATACTGATAATGATGAGAATGGTACCTTACCTCTACAGTCTTCCTCCCGCAAACTCATAACCACAGTCTAACTATGACAAAACCATCTCTCAAATTTTAGTTAAGAAACAATATATAAAATACCAGATCCATAACTCCTTAAAACTCAAGGTCATAAAAAACTAGAAATAGCTGAGAAATTATTATAGCCAGGAGGAGCCTTAAGGGACATAATGACTAAATGTAACATAGTGATCTGAATGGGATCCTAGAACAGAAAAAAGACCTTAGATATAAACTAAGGAAATTCAAATGCAGTAATATCTTTAGTTTGTGATGAAACATTAATATTGGTTTATTAATGTTTCACCACCAATATAAGATGTTAATAATAGGGAAACTGGATGCAGAGTACATTGGGATTTTCAGTAGTATATTCTCAGTTTTTCTGTCAATCTAAAATTGATCTAAAAATAGTTTATTAAAAAATTAAACTTGGCTATCCGAAAAGATAGGTGGAGTGGGAAATGTTGGTTCTCAAGCAATGGTTGGAGAAGAGAGGCAGGGTACTTTCTGAATGACAGTTTATAAAAATAATATATCTGTAAAATGCTCCTTTGTAACAATTTAGCCTTTGTATTATTCAGTCAATCAAATCGGCATTTTTCCCTTGAGAGGTCAGACATTAGAGTTAATAAATTAAATAATAGTAAATTAATAGGATGTTTTCAACTTAATAAATAAACCACAAGTAACTAAATTACCCAGACTGGATGAAATGTATCCAAGGAGTGTGTGTGTGTGTGTGTGTGTGTATACGCTAGCTAAACTTTTAAAAATTAAATTTATTGGGTGACATCAGTTACTAACATTACATAAGTCTCAAGTATGCAATTTCACAATACATTGTCTGTGCATTGCATTGTGTGCTCACCATTTGGGTGAACTTTTCCTCCCCATTTTTTAATTAAGGTATTATATGTGCACATAGCTTACCAATGGCCTCCCCGACTACCATACATGCCCTCACCGTCCAGTTTTGCGTCCAATGGTTATGCTTATATGCATGCATACAAGTCCTTCAATTGATTGGGTGAACTTCTTTAAGCATTATCCAAAAATCTGAATTGCCCTTGTCAAGATGTGAAATTATTACACCCATTTATAGAGGAGGACACAGAAATGATTATCCTGGGTGATTGGTAAAAGGCCTGGTGTTGGTATGCAATGATTTTTTCCCCTGATGTATTTCAGAAGTGCCCTAAACATTGTATAAGCCAGTAAGCCTTCTGCTCCTCCTTACCAACCTGGCAAAATGCAGAGTTAAATTATTCAAAGTGCCAAGGCAAGGAGGAAAATCTCATTCTAGTGTGTGTGGAACCACATTAGGTAGTAAGCCAGGCTTGATTTAGTTTTCATTCAACTTGGTGAAGAGGTATTACTCCATTTTATGAAGGAGAAAACTGACATTCTGTGAGGGGACCACACAGCTAAGGTGTGGTGGAGATGGGGCTGAGCTCTGCATCTCAGGTTCCAAGGCCCACAAGCTCTCTTTGAACTGCCAAATACAGCTCTCCCTGTACACCTGAAGCATTTATGAAGTTTTTCCGATGTACAAATGTTCTGGCCCCATCCTCCCATTCTTTGGGGACAGGAGAATCTATTCTTTCTTTCTTTCTTTCTTTCTTTCTTTCTTTCTTTCTTTCTTTCTTTCTTTCTTTCTTTCTTTCTTTCTTTCTTTCTTTCTTTTAAATTGAAAAATGTGTCAAAATACAAGAAAAGTAATTGTCCATAATTTCATCATCTGCAATAAACCGCCGTTAGCATGTGGACATATTCACTTTCATTTTTTTTGTATGTATAATTATGGTTTCCAAAATTACAAATTGACATATTTTTCTTTTAAAAATATAGAACTTTCACGATATAGCTATTGTTCTTTCTATAGTCCCTCAATCCTGTTATCCTGCAAACATCCTGGCCACAGCATTATTATTATATTTAAAAAATATGTCTATTGATTTTTTTAGAGTGAGAAGAAGGGGAAGGGAAAGAGAGATAGAACCAATGATGAGAGAAGAATGTTATTGATTGGCTACCTCCTGCACCCCCGCACTGGGGATTGAGCCCACACCCGGGCATGTGCTCTGACCAAGAATCGAATTGGTGACCTCTTGGTTCTTTCTGTTGACACTCAATCACTGAGCCACAATGGCTGGGATAGGCAACATTCTTATCAGTTTAGTATATTTCCTTCCAGTCCTTTAAAAAGCTCTATTAATGCTGACAGGTACCATGCTTTGCATATTGCTCTGAAACCTCTTTGTGTTAGTTCAGCAGAGTGGTCAAGAGCTTGGACTCTCCCATGGTGCTATGGCTTTGGGAGAGCTGTTTGATATTCCTGTGCTTTAGTTCCTTATCTGTAAAATGAGAATAGGATAGTGTCTGCTTTAAAGGGTAGTTGTGAGGATTAAATCCTTAATGCCTAGAAAACCCTCAGTGCAGTTACATATTAAGTGTTCAGTAGAATTACTATATAGTTTTTTTTTTCTGAATGAAATGTTTTTGAGATATAAGCTCTTAAGCTCTTAATATGTACTCAATGCCTGGAAGCTTTCTTAGCCCCTATTCACACACAAAAAGTGAGGTCTGCAGGGGAGGGCAGACTTCACCCAGTGTGGCGAGGTTTCATTCCCTTCCTGAGAGCCCATCTTTTCCTTAGATGACAAGCACCAAAGCCACCATCCTATGAAGAGATGACATTGCCTGCCAATGGGCCTGTGTCTTTGCAGACCTCAGCTAGTAACATCAGAATGCAATGTAACGCGTTTAATGTTTATAACAGAGACACACGGGTGCTGTGTTTGCATGTGCTGGGCGGGTGGTGGGAGCATAGAAGCAAATGGTTTCAGTGAGTTGTGGCCACAGGACTAGGAAGATACCAAAACCTGCACCTGCTAACCTACCAATGCCCCATTGTCCTCGGTGACTTGTTCTGCCCATTCTTTATGCATTTCTTTAAACATTTTCCATAGCTCTCTATTTGTTAGCCTCTACTGCTTCATGTCCCATGCCTTCGTAACAAAATAAAGTCTCCTGAGACTTTACTGCAAGTGGTTAATGGGCTGTAAAATTAGAAACAGGATCCTCGGAGGAGACTGCACAGAAGCAGTCTCTCTCCCCTCACCAGCCCTCTGATAATCACCACACTGTGTATTCTCCAGGGAAGGGAACAAGCAAATCAGCAGATATGCAGAGCTCTTAAGTGATGGTACACCTCATTAGCATCATGTAATTGATGGAGACACAGAGGCTCAGGCGAAGCAAGCTGCCTAGGGCTAGACACTGGGAGCTAAACATTGCTTCAGACTTCCCCCTCCTTTTCACAGGAGACTAGTCTTTTGGAACCAAATGGGAAAGGCACAATCTATGTTTGTCACCTTTATGTCCTACACTCTATCTACCTCTGCCCAGACGACCCATGATTCCCCCTCATCAGATATTCAGTGGGCTCATGCTCTCTCCTGTATGCTTCCCTCTCCTGTTTTCAGACCCTATAAAGGTGCTGTGGAGACCGGGATGAGCCAGACAGTCATTCTCTGTTTCTATAGACCTTGGAAGAGGTTGGGGTTCTACAAGCTTCCTTAACCTAGACTTGAGACAGAGTTGGTCAGGAAAGGTTTAAGCTGAAACATGAAGGGGTGGGTCAGGGGAGAGGCAGAGGGAAGTATATTCCAAAACAAAGAAACAAATGACTTGAAGTTAGAGAATAAACAGGGAATCTGGTTATGAAATCCTCAAATCCTTGGCCCTTTGCTCACCTCGTGTTTCTGAAGACAGAGGCCGGGTGGCAGGAGGCATCCAGACAGGCAATGTTTATTACTCTAAAGTTTGGACTTTGAGGCCTGCTCGTGACCCCTGGGCCTGAAGAGCAGTACAGGATTGACAGTAAATCATGAGGGTTGCTTTTACCCCACCCTGGCCTTAGATCCAGGGCACTCGTGAGCAGGAAAATGCTTACGGGAAACATTTCTTCTTTAATAAAAATAAACAGAGCTTTGAGTCTCACTGGAGGAGAAAGGTTTTTAGAATCCAAATGACATTTTCATTTTATTTAAATCCCCAAATATGGGCAATGATGTGAAGAACACTATGTAACTCACCTGCCTAAGAAATAAAACATTGTATGAATGACTAATGTCCTTGGGTACCCCTTCCTCCTGCACACCCTCCTGAGAGGTAGTTGTGAATCTGAATTTTATGCATGGGATTCCCATACATGTTTTATACTTTGTTCTATGTAAATAAGCATTAGTGATGCATGGTCTCATTTTGCAAACTTTAATCTTTATAACATTGTAACTCTCCCTGCAGCTCTCTTTTGTGAGGAGAGGGTGGTGAGCACTGTTTTGGAGATTTGCTCACACAGTTCTTGCCCATTTCTTCCCCCTCTTTCTATATTCTTTTTGTGGCTGTATTTATCCACTTCCTGTTGGTGGATACCTAGGTGGCTTCCATGGTTTGTCCACACAAATGGTGCTGCACAAAACATTTTGTGCAGGCCTGATGTCCTGTTTGTTGAAGGGAAAAATCTTGAGTGGAAAATTAGCACTGTTTTTAGCTGCTGAACAGTTCAGAGCTGGACACACTCGAGAAGTAGCAACAGAGAGCTTACTTTTCCCACTTTTGTTATGAAGTTAGGTTAGATAGCACTGTGGCCCATTGACTGCTTTTCGGTGATTGCTTTTCGGTGGCCTGGACTGGAACAGACCACAGTGCCTCTTTGATCATATCACTCTGGTGCAAGAAAAGGTGTAGAAAGAGGAATGTAAGAAAAAAAGTAAGGCATTTTCTCTAAAGCTTTGAAAAAATCCTGGATGAAGCTGCTACCCCAATTTTCCCTAGGATAAAGTCTCCTCCAAGTTGCACACAACCTATTTACATAAGTTAAAATATAAATAGTATTTTCCCAAGTAAGTATTTTCCCAAGGGGTTATCATTATAACCCTGTAAGAAATAAAGTGAAATTTTCATTATAAAAGTCATAAACATTGCTTTAGAAAAGATGAACTGTGATAAAAGATGAAATGTGATAAAGATGAACTGTGATAAAAAAGAAGGAAACAAAATCACCTATGGGCTCATTATCTGTAGACCACCAGTATTCCCATGTCATGCAATGGCCACTGACACTTTATTTTATATAAGATGTTGTTGTGAATAGTTTTTCTAATAGTTGTGTCATCTCTACTGAGTGGTTACACTATAGTCTACCTACCCGTTTCCCCATTGTGAGACTTTAGTTAGTTTATTCACTTTGGTAAAGTATGTCCCCATAAATTAAGTCCCTAGAATAGCACAAACTGATTTTGGGGTACAAATTGTTTTATGGCTCTTCCCAGAGGCAGTGCTGTTGCCAGGGGTGTGGTGTGGGTGGTGAGTACTAACAGCCTATGATCAGCCTTCCAGCCCTTCCTCCCCCTACCACCCTCCCCCATGCCTCCCACCTCTGTCCTCCTTAGTCAGCAGGTAAGCTTGCCAGAGGTGTGGCCTGTCCTGGCTATTGACTTTGCTGTGTCCTCTGCTCTCCAAATGTCAGGGATTGGTTCTTTTTTCTTTTTGAAGTTTCAACTTATGTAAATAGCCGGTGGAATTCACCCACTCTCTTTCTTCCTGAGCCAAGAAGGATGACAGCATTCTTTTTTTTGTTTGTTTGTTTTGTTTTGTTTAGAAAATTACCTCTGTTTGCTTAGAAAGCTTCAAAGCAACTCTATCTCTCTGGCCTGCTCTCCTCCACCTTCTCTCTCTCTGGTCCATCCTCATGTTGGGTAACCTGGGGTCACCATCGGGCCTATATCCTCTGTAGCTCGTGCTCACAGATAACCACTCCATCACCATGACTCTGAAGTTAGAAAAAAAATAGGCCCCTGTCTCCTATCACTTTTGCAGAACCCCTTCATCTCTTATTTCACTCTGTACTTCTCCTTTAACCTTCTCAAAGGGTTGTGGGCCTGCACAGAAAATAATTCTAAACTCTGAAGTGATATTTAAAGTGAAAAATATATTCATATTGTAATCATTTGTGTTCTTTTTGCCTGCCATTAACCATCAAGGGCAAAAACCCCCGCAAAACTTCTTAAATGATAAAATTGATTAATTTTGTGTTTTGAAGTTGTTAAGTTATTCAAGTTAAACATTATTTTTCAGGGTATTCTATGTATTTAAATGTTTGGGGTAACCCTATTTATTTGCTTCTTTTTAAAAACTATATTTTTATTGATTTCAGAAATGAAAGTAGAGGGAGAGAGATAGAAACATCAATGATGAGAGAGAACCATATATCAGCTGCCTCCTGCATGCTTCCTACTGGGGATTGAGCCCACAACTCAGGCATGTGCCCTGACTGGGAATTGAACTGTGACCTCATAGTTCATAGGTCGACACTCAACCACTGAGCCACACTTGCTGGGCTATTTGATTATTTTAATAAAGTGTAGAGGGTGTCCCTTGGATGTCTTTACAATGAGCAGCACTCTCAATGAAATAACAGACTTTCTGAACAAGTAGCAGATAACTTGCCATGCTTTAAAATTTCACACCAATTTAAGTAACTGACTTTTTAATTACAAATTCATAATAGTGAAATCTCACCAGCTAACAACATTGAATTTGAGTAGGTATATCAAGTAATTATTATTTTTGTGGCATTTAATACAAGCAGCTTCTCCCTTTCTCAATGAGCCTTATGTGTCCACTCTGTTAAATACTGCATTATGTTTGTTATTTATCTCCCTATAACTTGAATAAAAGCTTTTATAAAGAGAAGTACCTTTGTTTTGTTCACTGATATAGCTCAACAACCTAAAAGAGTAATGGGTACTGCCTACACATTTATTGTATATTTGAATAAAAATATGAGCAGTAATTATACTAAATACTTTTTACTGAGCTTTTACCATATGCCTGGCAGTGTACATGTATCATGTTCCAATAAATTTATGAAGCAGGTGTCACTTTTATCACCAAATTACAGATGTGGAAACTGAAGGTTAGAAGCATAAAATAAATTGTTTCAAATCTTATAGCCAATATAATTGAGGACTTAGATTTAAACCCAATTAACTTAACTCCTACCCTATTCAAGCAGAAAAATGTTGCTTCGATATTACCTATTTATTGAGATATTATTATTGAGATCCTATGGGATTTCATTTGGTAAATGGAGTTTTCCTATGTAAATATTTCTGACAAACACTGTCCTAGACATTTGAACCAAATCAACATTTATGGTTGAAACTCTAGGTGATGAGCAGATTTCCATGTGGTTAAATTCTACAGTATTGAAATTATATCATCACATCTTGCCATTTGTTATTGGGTTTTGTAAAAACAAAAGAAAATAGGCAAATTGTTCAACTTCAAGGACTTTCTTCTTCTCTGATTTGGAAAATCTTATTCGCCATCTGTGTGCATTTCTTGTGTGGTATGTTCTGCTCTGGTTTGGTGTGTTTGGTCCGTGTTCATGCCAACAACTGTTCTTTTCACATGCCCAATTCTGTTTTCTAGGAGAATGAAATAAATCTGACTCACATTGAATCCAGACCTTCACGCTTAAAGAAAGATGAGTATGAAATCTTCACCAGTCTGGACAAGAGAAGCATGCCTACTCTGGCCAACATCATTAACACCTTGAAGCATGAGATTGGTGCCACCGTGCATGAGCTTTCTCGAGAGAAGAAGAAAGACACAGGTAAGAAAGAGAGGAATTTTGAAACCCTAGTTACTCTATATTCTGTACATAATAATATAAACCCTAGAAGACCATTGGGGGTTTAAGCAAGAGGATATAGGTTAGGGATCTAGATGAGAGCCTAGCATATTTTGGACATTTAGTAAATATTAGTTCTTTCCCCGCTTCATCTGGAGAGTTATTATATTAATTGTTTTCTTTCTGCTGCTGCCATTTTTATATATTTTTCATTCTTGAGAGGTTATGCTCACCATCTCCTATCTCTATAGGATGGTTAGAATGTCCTGGGTGCTTTTTATGTAAACACAATTTCAAGACAAATTCCATGGTCATTGCCATTTCAACCAAAGAGCTCTCCCCACATCCTTGCCATAGTATGTAGAATCTGTAGCAACTGCCTGCCCCTTGTCCTAGGGCTTTCATTTCTTTACTTGTCTTTTTCTCTAGATTATGAGCTTCCTATAGGCAAAGGGAGTATTTTTTTAAAAAATATTTATATCCTATGAGTTTAGCCCAATGCTTAGAACACAGGTGCTGAGCAAATATTTGGGAGTGAATGATTAAATCCAGGAGTTGTCAAAACTTGCCCTGCCTCCTCATTGACTTGCTGAAGTGTTGCCCATTGATGACCCCTGAACAATAAGTCAACAAAGTAAGGCTATAAAGTGGGGTTGAACAGATTTCAGTTCAAGTCCTACCTCTTCCATTTAAAGACTTTGAGACCCATGCAAATCCCTTTCACTGCTCTGATCTCAAATTTTCAGGGGGTTTCTGTGAAGGTTAAATGAGTTCACACATATACTGCCTGTCTGGGAATGATTGTATGTGGTTGTTGTTACTATTATGCACACCCTAAAGGGAATACAGAGGAACAATGTGATTGCTTTTAGGATCAAAACATATTGAGATAAACTATCCTATATAATAAAAGGGGAAAATGCAAAATGATTCTAATGGTGGAACAACTGGTCGCTATGATGCACACTGACCAACAGAGAGCAGACGCTCAATGCCGGAGCTGTCCTCTTGGTGTTCAGTGTGCTCCCACAGGGGATCTTCACTCAGCCACAAGCTAGGCTGATGGTTGTGAGTACAGTGGTGATTGCAGGAGTCTCTCTTGCCTCCCTTGGCAGTGCTAAGGACTGATGCAGAGTGGGCCTAAGCCATCAGTCAGACATCCCCCAAGGGCTCTTGGGCTGCCATAGGGATATCTGACTGCCAGTTTAGGCCCAGTCCCCCAGGGAGTTGGACTAAGCTGGCAGGTGGACATCCCCCATGGGGTCCTCGACTGCACGAGGGTGTGGGCACACATTTTTGTGCATTGGGCCTCTAGTATTTAATAAATGTTTTATTTTTTTAAAGCAGTTTCATGCTTATGGGAAAATTGGGCAACAAGTACAGAGAGTTCTCACATGTTCTCTTTCTCTCCCACCACTCTACCTCAGTTTCTCCTGTTATTAACATCTTGCATTAGTGTGCTAAATTTTTAATAATTGATGAGCCATAGTGATACAATATTAATAACTAAATTCTATAGTTTATGTTATAGATCATGCTTTGTATTGTACAGCTCTTTTGGTTTTGACAAATGCAGATAATGACATGGTGATCAACAATGGTAGGTAGTGTCATGTATCCATCATTCCAGGTTCATGCAGTTGGTTTAACTGCCCCCCCCTCCCCCAAATGCCCTGTGATCCACCGGTTTTTCTCTCCTTCTTCTCTTGATCCCTTTGGAAACAATTGAACTTTTACTGTTTTCATGATTCTGACTTTTCCAGAATGGTATATAGTTGGGACCAGATTATGCAGTGGTTTCTTTCACTTAGCAACATATATTTAATTTCTTTATATCTTTTTGTGACTCAATGGCTCATTTCATTTTAGTGCTAAATAATGTTCCATTGTATGGATGTAATATATATATATATATATATATCTTATCCATTCACCTATTGAAGGACATTTTGGTTGTGTCCCAGTTGTGGTGATTATGAATAAAGCTGTTATAAATACTCATGAACAGGTTTTTGTGTGATCCTGAGTTCTCAGTTCATTTGGGTAAATATGTAGAAGTATAAATGCTGAGATGAATTAGTTTTTCTAAATAACTAAACAAGTTCTATTGTACAATCAAAAGTTGTGTTTTGTCTTGTTTTTTTTTTTTTTTAAACACTGAAGAGTTTATGTCAAGTGGATTTCAGGCTCTGCCACTGAAAATAGCATTTTAATAGGCAGAGATATTTAAAATGAGACAAGACCCACCTCTTAGCACAGGCCATTGACACAGTTTCTATAAGATGTCTCCAAGGCCTTCTTAGGAGATCTTACTCCTTCTCTGCCCTCATCCTCCTGTGGCTATCACACAAGCAAGCCCAGCCAGGGCTCTGCCCTTGCTGAGGGTGAACAGCATGCTCTTGGGCTCAGGTCACTAGGGGAGGGCACTTGGAATTCTTCCTCAGATCTGCCCTGTCCACCTGCCTCCCCCTTCCACCTTCCAAGCTGCTTCCCTGATGATCATCTCCTTTAGCTTTTCCAGCCACCTGCTCCCAACAGGAGCTGCAGGCTCTCAGGACAAAGGCCCTGCTGGACCCGGGGCCAAGCTCTGCCTCTGCTTGGAGCAGGTGGAGGCCTGGCCAGCTGCGGCCCTGGGGTAGGAAATCAAAGCAATTGACAGGCAGGCACACGGCCCCTTGGGGAGCCAGGGAAGATGTATGTAGATCAGATGAAGGGCTGGCAGCCTGAACTGGAGGCTCAGAAAGGAGGCTCTTAATGGCCGTGGAAGAATATTATAGTTAGGAGCCCAGATTTCGAAACCTGGGGACACCATGCTTAATAGAACTTGGGGCAAATTGCTGGCCTTTACGATCTCCCACTGTATCACATGGGAGCAACAAGAGACTGTTTCATAGGATTAATGAAATAACAGCGGTGGAGCATCGAAAGCAGTGTGGAGTGCATTGAAGGGCTTAATAGACATTCTCTATACCACGATCACGGTTGCTATAAATAATGGCTCGAGCACAGGAGCCACGAAAAGCCAGCCCACACACAGCTCCTTTTTCAGAGATTCTGAGAAACAACAAATGACCTCGGAGGTCATGCAGCCCAACAGACTCCTTAATTTTTCATGGTACAAAACAGAGGCCGTGACTTGCCTTAAGGCACAGAGTGGATCCAGTACAGTCGTGGGTAAGCGTGTATTGAGCGATGCTTTGTGCCAGGCACTGTGCTAGGAGCTGGAGTGACAGAGGGCCACACTGCCTGTCCTTAAGGAGCTCGCAGGCTGACAGAGGCAATGAGACACCCGGGTAGATACCGTAGAGGGACAAGGGCTGAACATAGCACAGTTTTGATTCCCCAGCAGAGTGTTGAGATTTAAAATTGGGTTGACATTCTGCCTGGTGGAGAAAAACTCTGAGTACTAAGCCTCTAAAACAGCACATGTTTTGTAACTCTCATTTCTTTAGATACTTGGTTTCTCCATCCCATACTGGCTGCCCCTACCTGTCAGGGTTTCCTGACCTTCACATCCTCGTAACAGAACAGATGCTAGGGACACAGGTGATGCTGAAACTTGGGTAATCTTGCACCTGTGGAGAGAGACGTGCTCTTTGGGCTACTAGGGGTAGTTCTTATGAAGTGAAGCCTGGGCCCAGAAGCAGATTTTTTAGGGGAAACAGCTATCCCTTTGCAGAGTTGCTCTTTCTGCAGAGCTCAGTGAGAGGTGATTAGAGGAAGAAAAGCATCATGGTAGATCTGAACCTTTGATTCTTTTCACTTGACAAAATGCCCTGTCTAGTGAGGGGCTCAGACCTCAGGGGCAAGTCTGACAGCAGGTTGAAGTGGGAGATCTGAAACCCTCAGATCAATTAGGCTAAACCACTTTTGATTCTGGTGTTTAAACCATTCAAAAGGCCATGTGGGTGATAGAAAATGAAACTTTTCAGTTTTTTAATTGCTAAACGTTCCCCACCCAAAAGAGCTTAGGAGAAGGTTAATTATGGTGACAAGTTAAAGAAACCCCAACCTTCTTAAATGCCTCCTGGAGAAGCTGATGTGAGTTTAATAGGATTTTAATCCAGAGAGTCTTTTGAATACTTGAGGTCTATTCTCCTGCTTCCCTCTCTTCTGATGACCTCAAATCCTTCTTCAACCCAACATAAAAGAGCATTAATATCTTCCATCGATCCATCTCCTAATCCTTTTACCTTTGCCTTTGAGTCCTCTGCATGACATTGCATTTGGAGGGAGGTGGGAAATTCCTACGTGGAGACAGATTGCAGCCAGCAAAAGCAGACAGACCAAATGTCTGAGCTAGACGGAAGTAAAGGATCATCACCTTTGGAGAAAATTATCTGTTGGGAATTATTTTCCAAAAGCAAATGGATATTTAATGGATTTTGTTCCAGCTGTGGTGATTATGAAGATCCTGGTGTGGAAGCAAAAGGAGTCCAGATTGCTCTTGTGTGTGCTTGTGTGGGGGGAAGTAGAGGGCTATTTATTTTATCTATCTATCTATCTATCTATCTATCTATCTATCTATCTATCTATCTAGACTTGGGGCAATTAGGATTTTATTTCTTTTTTTAATTTGTTTATGAAGCAACAATTTAAGGGGGAAAATCACTGCAAGAAGACCTAAAGCAACATCATTATACTCATTCCTTTTCTCTCATACACCTCTGCCTTCCCAGCCCTCTGGAGTTTTCTCTTTTCTGCTTCAATATTGCTGTCCCAAAGAACAGAAGTTTCAGATCAATTGGCACGAGAAGAAGGATAGAAAGGAATCTGAAAAGACCCTGAATTTGGGGCATAATGATACGTGTGTGTGTGTGTGTGTGTGTGTGTGTGTGTGTGTGTGTGTGTATGTTTGCATATTTTTTTAAGAGACACAATTTTTCAAAGGTATCTTACTCTTAAAGAGATGATAAGAATCTTTAGGGAGAAGTTCTTAAGGCTGGAGGGAGGTCCAGATGGTTAGGGGTTTTACTCATTCC